TGGCAGACACGTTTTTCTCACAGACTCTGTGACTTAAGTGCCATCACATTTCACAGATGTGGAAGCTGGGCGGCCCTCAGCTGGCAAGGGACAGAGGCAGTGCCCCAGCCCTGTCCTCCCTGACGTCAGAACCTTTGCTCTTTGGTGACCATCAGAACCAAGTTCTAAGGACAGCTGCGGAGGTCAGGGGTCTGACAGGTGTTTGAATCATCACCTCGTGGTCTGCAGCACTTGTTAGAGTGTTCCTTTCTCAGAAGCACGGTGCCACGTGTGTCACTGCTGGTGAGTGGCTCTTGTTTGTACCCGGTGTGTGCGTGAACTTGGTACAATTGTGAACTTAAAAGACCTACCTGACAGACTTCACTAAGGACCAGGTTACGCCGATGACAAGGCATTGTCATCTTGCCGTGAATTTGTGACGCGGATTGAGCAAGAACTTGCAGGAACTGGTAAAGGGAAGTCGCTGCAGTCACCCCGTCCTTCCGCATTCCCTGTTTTGGTGCGTGTGTGTGTGTCTGTCTCGGAAGAGCAGGAGTCGGGGTCGCAGAAGCCTTCAGGTGGGAGCGGGACTTCGGGTCATCATGTGTGTGGCGTTTGTACAGTTTGGTTTCCATGTCTGTAAAGTGAGAACCATCCTTGGGAAACTGGGCTTCATTCATTCCAGAAGCCGCCTTGCCACATTCTTCACTTCTCACGTTTAAGATTCGTTGAACAGACGCTTAAGGAAAGGTCTGGCCATTAGACTTGCCTGATCGGCTCTTCTTTGCAATGGGAAACACATTTTAAGTCCTGATAGTCTCCCTCCTGGGTGTGATAGAGGAAAAATGTCAGCCCCAACACGGGTCTCATTCAGCCCACCAGTCCCTCCTTCCTCATCTGTGAGAAAGAATGCAAAGCGAGGCAGGGGAAAAAGCCCCAAACTGGGGAGCCAGGTCGCCTGTTAAAAGTACAGTGTAGCACAGTGAAAAAAAAAAGTGACAAATATATGTATGTTCACGTGTAACTGAAAAATTGTGCTCTACACTGGAATTCAACACAACATTGTAAAATGACTATAACTCAATAAAAAATGTTTTTAAAAAACTAAGAAAAAAAATAGGGTACAGTATGACAGCCAACACCTGGGGTTTCCGACATCAGCCTCCCTCCCAGCCCCAGTGCTGTCGTAAAAATCCCAGGCCACGGTTGTCCGCGGCGGGGCTGTGTGCTGTGTGTCTCCTTCGCTGCAAGCAGCAGGAACCGACTCTTAATTTAAGCAGAAGGGACTTTATTGGAAGAATATCAGGGAGTCTTAGAAATGATAAGAAGACCAACGAACTAGGCTTGGCCAGATGGAGAACGAGGCATCTCGGGAAGTCGGGGACCAGGAACTCCCTGAGGGGTCTGTAGGAGCTGCTGTCTGGCCAGGAACACGGTGGCACCAAGCACCCTGGGCCTCCTGACCCCCTGCTATGGGGGGACCGCTGGGCATCCCCGGAGCATCTAATCGGCCTCGCCTGGGTCGTGTTACCACAGCGCGGTGGAGGGTAGGCGGCCCTCCAGGACTTACCCAGGAAAGATCCTTCTCCAAAGGGAAATTGGGAGGAAGCTAGACTCAGTAGCCAAAGCGACAGTGGCCACCACCGGGCAGGAAAGGGACCGCACAGGGGACGAGGCCAGACCCGGTTTCCTTTGGTAAAGGAGGGTCAGAGGATGTTTGCGAGGACGTTGGCTGCAGGGTGTGTCTGCCTGTACCCTCGCCCACTCGCCTCCTTGCTTCTGTCCTGCGGCCGGGAGGCGGCCTTGTGCTGCTGGTTTGCGCACGTGTGGACGCTCAACCTGTGTGGCACAGGGCCTGGCAGGGAGGCAGTCATATGGTGATCAGTTTCAAGGAATTCAATTTTTTAGGCCCTTTTCCTTGGCTGCGTCCGCGGTCACCCCGTCTGCCCTGGGGCACGGCTCTTGTCACTGCGCAGCTCCTGGGTGTTTGTGTCTTAAGTCTGTTCTTCAGGAGCTGTACTTGGACTTTTTGGCCCCGTCCAGATAAGTGACTCGCCACCCACATCTGATTCCTGTAGGCAGTCAGAGCTGATCTACGCCTGTAGCACGCGGTTACTGAATCCACACTGCTTTGTGATTCAGGCCATGCCTTCCAGGGAATGATGTGACCTGCCAGACCTTGTTCCTAGGAGTAGAATCCTACCCCTCGTTCTAAGTGTCCATTTTAAAAGGAGGGTGCAGTGTTGCAGAAGGAAGTGGACTTTAATGTCCAGGGCTGGAGGGAGAGCATGTGCCTTTGCACATTTCTGTGAACCCCCAATGACATTACATTGTGTCTCCTGGTGCCACAGGGAAATAATGATTGCTTGCCATTTCTGTCAAGTAAATTTTTACATGACAGTCCGATGACACCCTGTGTGAGTCTCCGGGAAGCTCCCTACTCCTGGGGCGCCCATCACCCCCTCCCACCCCTCTGTCTGATGCTGCTCAGAAACTTCTGGATGCTCTGGGTGACACCCGGGAAGAGCTGACCCTGTGCTCCCCCCGCAGCACCCCGTGCTGGACGAGCCCATCGCCGAGGCCGTCTGCATCGTTGCCGACACGGAGAAGTGGAGCGTCCAGGTGGCCACGAGCCAGAGGAAGGTGGTGGACGACTCAAAACTCGGCCAGGAGGTCCTTGTGTCCAGCCAGGTGTCCAGCCTGCTCCAGTCCATCCTGCAACTGTACAAGCTGCACCTCCCTGCCGACTTCGTAAGTATGGCCAGAGGACACGGCCCTTGGTAAGGTGACTGTGCAGCCCGAGCTCCCGTGGACTGCTTGTGCCATAATTGGAGGTTAGATCAGTGGAATCAGACCTGCGACAGAAGAGCGGCACCCAGGGTAGATCTCAGTCTCAGTGGCTCTCCCATGAGACAGGGGACGTGGAACCACACACAGCTTTCTGAACAAGTTCTGTAGAAAAGTAAGTAAGGTGTAGAGGCAGGGACCACGCAGGAAGGGAGATTGAAAATCCTCCTCCAGAGAACTCACTGGTTTTCCTTTTATTCCATCCATGCCAAGCAAGCTGGTTTCAGAAGGGACTGCAGTCCCGTGTGTTTGGGGACTGTCCTCCCCGGGTTGTTACAGATAAAATAGGATATGGTCTGTGTCAACACTGAAAATGGGGACGCACCAGACCCACAGAAGATGGTAGCAATCATTCCTTGTCAAATGGGATTTTAAACCATTTTGGTAACATTACATTAAATACAAGCAGCAGGCAGCGCCCAGCATCTCCTAGAAAATGATGACAGCTCTGCTTGAATAATATGCAAAAGAAATCCGTGTGTGTATGTGCGTACATGTGTGTGCAGAGATTGAGGGAAAACATACTTAGAGAGGGAGGGAGGGAGGTTTCCAAAGCAAGAGGCAGCTGAAGGGCGTGTGTCCTGGGAGAGCCCGCTGGCTGGAGCAGATGCAGGTGGGTGAGCGAGCCGCCCGCATCCCCGTCCGTCTGCCCTCCCTCTGCTCGATGCTGCTCTCTGCGCTTCTGCCCCATACCACACAGCCGTCACTTCCCTTCCGGCCCCTCAAAAGATGCAGCGCTATCACCCACGGAGTAGGAACCGGAAGATTAGCTACCTGCACCTGCCATTTATGGAGCAGTGATTTTCATGAGCTCCTGTGACCGAACCTCCAGTCACACTGCATTCTGCAAGTCGGGGCTTCTGTGTCCTGCAAAAAGGAGCCCTGAGACACCATCCGGCTGTCTTCGGAGGTGGCAGTGCGGCATCACAGGGACACCACTGGACGTAACCGGGGTAACGTCCAGGCTCTGCCACTGCCTCGTTAGTGGGCGACCTTGAGATCTCAGAACCTCAGCCTTGTCATCTGTAAAGTAAAGACGGGGCCTGTTCGACAAGCGTGTTTTGAGACTCCTCTGAAAACACCGCCCACGAGAGGTGCCTTAACCGCCAGTGGACACTCGTGGCTAGTCCTTTCAGGGCCAGTGGCCCGGCCTCGTGGCCCAGCCCCACTGCCTCCTAACCGTGTGCCTTGTCAGAGCTGAAGCTGGGGGAGCGACAGAACCCGTCTTGTGTGGTGACGAAAATGAAGTCAGGTGGTTCAGGGAAGCCCTTGCAGTAACTGTTACAGATGTTCTAAGCTCTCAGGAAGCGGTACCGTTGGTGCCACTGTTGGAAACCATTGGTTCTCTCAGGCAGTGTTCATGGCTCTGAAGACCGACACCACCGCTTCACGGGAACCTTTATTTGGGCCTGAGCAGCGGGGGTGAGGGACACAGGAGGCTCCTGTGGGTCTTACAGCCTCATCTTTGTTCTACATTTGTAGACAGCTTTCCTTTGTAGTAGCAAGTTGCTTCCTGCCGACTTGGAGGCTGAAATCTCCTTTTCTGTAAGAGAGAAGCAAGAGATTTGATTTTACAGATTTTTACTGTTGTAAGTATTTACAAAACTTTTATGTGGCAGTCTATGACATGTCTCTTGTTAGATTTGACATCTTAATTATCCCAGCGATCAGTTCCCATAGCTAATTCTGCCTCCTCTATTTGGGTGGAGGTTATGTTTAACCACTTAATGAGTGACTGACCTAACCTGACAACATCACCATCAAAGGAAATTTCACCCACAGTTTAAAAATTCTTCATAAAAATCGCTTGAATGAAACACTTGACTAAATGCCTATTAGTTCCCTCAGTATGAAAAGAGAAAGTCGCTATTTAAAATTTCAGAAGTTAAAATTGAAGAAATCCATCTCAGAAAGGGGAGGGGGATCCCCAAACAGTTCTGTTTCACAATCAGGCTTTTACAAAGTGCTTTGAGTTCAAGTTTCATGTCCACTCTGTGTAACCCGGTGTTGTCTTCATTTCCACGTGGCAACACCCAGTTTTCCGGGGGACCACGAAAACACCGTGAACGAGCTATTTTAAGACATAAAGGACTCAACATGAAGTATTTTATAACACTTAGTAAACCTTTGCGTTTGCTCTGTAAGGAACTGAAATGTAACAGGACACCTTTCAGCACTGGACTTGGTTTACCTGGGGGGACGTGTCTGTGAGAATGGCTGCGGCCCTCCTTGCTTTGATTATTACTCTCACTCACTCACTGGTTGTGCTCCAGCCACCCTGCACGGCACATTGAAGAATTTAAGCCAGTGAGAAACGGAAAAGATGGCATCTCTCATGCGATGCTTTTTCCATGTCACTGATCCGCCCAGATGGTCAAGATCAACGTTTTTAAATGCATCTGTTAATTTTTTTACCTTGAAAACAGCAGGCATAATGATCTAGAAGAAAATCTTGTCTGATGGAGTTAACCATCCCGGAGCCATCAGGTGCCTGGGTAGCTCTGCCTGCCAAACCCAAAAGCATTTGCCTCTGGTGCAAGACACAGATGGTGGCTGCTCACTAAAAAATGAAGCTGGACACAATTCCAAGTGTAGAGACGTCCTGGAAATAACTGCCCTTTCTTTACTGTCATCAAAGACCTACTTAAAATACATTCTTGAGAGAAAAAAAAAAAGTTCAAAATAACCTTGTTCCAGTCATTCTGGGATGTCTTACACCAAAATAGTCTGAGATATAGGGGGAAAAACAGTAACAAAGATACTTTTTACAAAATTAGGTACAATAACAAAAATGCAGATGGCTATGTGGGTAAGTAAGTCATGGTGAATTCACCTTCTGAAAAATTATCTAGTCATCAAAATTACATTGATTGAAGAATTTTTAATAACATGGGGAAAGGATTATTCTAAAGTTTGTGAAAACAGGAAATAATTGTACTTACAGAATGATTTCGACTATGTGAAAAACATACTTTTTTTTAAAAAAGATTAGAGGATACATATGAAGGTCTTCATCAGCTTTTTTTATATATACATGTTTTTATTGAATTACAGTCAGTTTACAATGTTGTGTCGATTTCTGGTTCTATGAAGATCTTAAGTCATTGGAAAACTTAAACATTATTGTTTGACAGAAACCTCTTCGTATCTTTCCTAGTGGTGGGGTTTGAGGGGGCTTGTGATTGTTTCAGTGTATGTTGAAGAGCTGAGACAGCGTCGTGGGCTTAGAGGCGGGTTAAGGGAGTTGCTCCTAGAGCGCCGGCGGGGACCCGGGCGCGCGCCCTCACCGTGGCCGCGCTTGGCTCCGCAGTGCGTCATGCACCTGGAGGACCGGCTGCAGGAGGTGTACCTGAAGAGTAAGATGCTGTCCGAGTACCTCCGCGGGCACACGCGAGTCCACGTCAAAGAACTGAGCGTCGTCCTGGGGTGAGTTCTGTGAAGTGGCACCGCTTCTCCCCGCGACGGGGCTGTCCTGCTGCTGTTCCCCCGACCCAGCCACCCGGGGCCGCCCTGAACCCGCAGACCCCCCCGCCCAAGCCTCTGCGGCTCCCCAGTGAGTTTCACACCCACCCTGGGACAAATGCAGACCTTTAAGCTAGCGGTGCTTCCTTCGTCTTCCCCTTGGGTGGTTTTCTCCTTGAAAGTGGAAAGTGAAGTCCCCTTCACGTGTCTGGTCACTTCAGAAGGACGGGAAGTCACCAGCTGTCACTCCAGCAGCTGTGTCTGCCTGTCTTGCTGGAGGAAGGGGGAAGGGCCGTTCTCCTGGACTTGGGGGCCTGCCCGCGTGTCCTAGGGGTGACTGCACCCTCCTCCCTGTCTGTGCACCCAGCAGAAGAGGGGACGTGCTTGTTACCAGTCGTGTGTCACCTGCCCGGGAGTCTCTGCCCTGACTTCTCTGGGAGAAGTTCTGGCTTTGGTTTACTCTCAGAGAGAAGTAAGAAAAAGACACTGGGCACATGGAGAAGTGTCCCCCTTACCTCTGGTGACCGTCCCCCCAACCTCTGGTGACCATCCCCGCACTTTGGGGCAGGAACACATTTTCAGCCATGAAGTTGTCTATTACGTCCACTCATCCAAGTGTGACCCCAAGACTCAGGCGTCTGCACTCTTGTCTGAGTCTTTCCATCCATCACACCCAGGCTGTGACCGACTGTGCTGTTTGGCGCCCAGCGTTTCCTGTCACACATTTGTTTTCCTTACGTACCACACTTAAGTCCCCTCCCCTTCTGGGGCATTGGCTTCTGCAGATAACTTGCAGGTTTCAGGTGTACAGCAGAGTGGTTCAGTCAGACATACACTTGGGCTTTTTCAGATTCCTTTCCATCGTAGGTTATTACAAGGTATCGCGTGCATTCGCCGTGCGGGGCGGCTGGACCCTGCGCGGTGGCCGGGCAGGCTGGGTGCCGGGCAGCGGGCCTCCGCGGTGAGCCCTGCACCTTGCCTGACTCTCCGCTCTCTCCGCAGTATCGAGTCCAACGACCTGCCCCTGCTGACGGCCGTCGCCAGCACCCACTCCCCCTACGTGGCTCAGATACTCTTATGAGCTGGCGCTCAGGCCGAGTCTTCCCACGAAGGAGGAGTCAGGCTCTCCACCGGAGGAGGAGGGTCAGCCCTCCGTGTCGCCGAGGCCACCGCCGTGCCGTGTGGCTCTCCAGGGGATGCTGGGCCGGGCGACATGGTTCGTGCGTGTTTTTCCGAGCACGTCGGGCCTCCGGTTCCCGGGATTCTCATGCAGGAGGAGGCGGGGCCCTGCATGGACGCGGACGCGGACGCGGAGCTGCGGGTCCCGACGGCGTGTGCGGGCGGAGCAGTGACCACCTCCGGGCGCGGACCATTCCAGGAGGAGACGGCTCAGAGCTTCAGCGTGGGCTCTCCAGGCGGAGGAAGCCTGTCCTGCTGTTCTGAGAAGGGTCCCTGGGTGCCAATGCCAAGGGCCGAGTGGGGACTGGGACTGGCCGTGGGGACCAGAGCTCCGGGGACCCGCTGCTCCCTCGTCTTCCCCGAGTTTACCTCGTTTGCGATGCTGGCGTGGGCAGGTTAGGGATGCATTGTTGGTGCAATAAACCCAAGACTCATGTAGCCGCTTCACCCCATCCAGACGTGGTCCGCGCTGCACGCGCTCGGGCGCGCCCCACGGCTTTCACCTTAATGCTTCAGAGCTTGCCGCAGCCTTTTCAGAGGCCGTTTACCAAAGCCGTTTCCACAAGCTCAGGAGTGTCTCCGTTGCTCAGTTCTTCCAGCCGAAGCCGCCTTCTTCCCGGAAGAGTGAGGACGAATGACCGTCGAACTTTACCAGGTACCGCTGTCCTGGGGGGACACGGCACCTGCCACGGTTCCGGGTGACTCACGGAAGGGACTAGTTGGAGCGTTTGTGAACAATCCACACATGAGCTAAATTTTTACATTATCATCTCCGTGCCTTCCAACCCCCACGTCCTTTTCAAAACACCTTTCCAGAAATTCACTCACCCACCAAAATGAAGAATCGTCCATTCATTCCCACAATTTGCTTTAAAAAACAAAACAAAACAAAACAAAACAAAACCTTAATGTTCTGTCGATAGAAAAGAACTTTAGTTAACTGATGGTGAAACAGACGATGTGCTGATGTCCAGGGTAAAGGAATGACTTCTCACGGAATGGCCTGGTAACAGGCAGGAGTGAACCGAGCCCGGCAGACATTGCCGGCGCCCTGCAGCTCTCGAGGACCGCTCGCTCGAACCAGGCTCCCATTTCCTTCACTGTCATACGAATCGATTCCAGTCCTTTCCATGTCACCCCCACACCTCACAATACGAAACGACTTCAGATTTTTCTGTCCAATGAAATCCTGATCCCAAACACCAAGTCACAGAAGTCTGTGTCTTAATTCTGTTACAAATGCGAGTTACTTGTTTGACAGAGCATCGCAGCAGAACCAAGGGAGGAAAAACAGGTGTGTTCTTCCTTAGGAATAATTCTTTGGAACGGGTCAGGCCTGCTGCCCTCCCCTCTCTTTACGACGTGAAGTGGAGGTGGGTCCGTTAAGGCTCTTAAGATCTTCTAATTTACATTTTCTGTCTTTTCTCTCATAAACTTGACGTTGTCCATTCTTTATGTTTTTTTGTTTGTTTCTTTTCGCCTGACGTCTGCGATTGGTGTTTTGAGTCCCTGGTTCCATGACAGGGTTGTCGTTGTCACGTCCACAGATGGAGTGGACCTGCCGCAATGCTGCGCTCATCCTGCCCACGTTTGTTGCGTGTGCATCCTTGTGATAAACCGCGAGCCAGCCTCCTGTCTGCACAGCTCCAAGCTTCCCCATCTCCAGTCCCCTTCCTTGTTTACACATTCTGGGCGCTCCTCCGCCTCCACCTCCTAGGGTTTCCTAGGAAATAACAGATACAGAACTGGCTCTGTCTTTGTGGCCCGGAGCGGCCTATTGCAAGTTGGACCCAGGCGGGGGGAAACAGCTCTAGATGGCTGGTTCCACACTTCACCTAGAAGCCCCTCAAAGCCTGAGGAGACTGGTTTTGCCTCAGTCTACTGTCCCCAGACCCCCGGGGAGAACGTCCTGTGGGGAGGCTTTGTGGGGAGGGGTCCCCAGGGTGGAGGCGTCCTCAGGGATGCTCAGGGCTCCAGGCAGCACGTATCCTCGTTAGCCGCTGCCCTACAAACACAGGCCAAGATGGTCCCTGCTCCGTGTAAACCTCCTCTACGCAGCCCCGCGTGTTCGCCCAGAAGCGGAGAGGAGAGTCTCGTGGGACCGTAAGATGCAGCCTCAGCACCGCGCAGCACCCGGCGGCTTCATCCGCCTCAGCCCAGGAGGCAAGACGGGACCCTGCCCTCTCCCGTGCCCACCTCGAGAGAAAAAGAAAAAGTTAAAAATATACATGAACACAGAGCAAACTACCTCAGTTGACAGGACCCCACCTCTCGGGCTCCCCCACGCCGAGGTCTTACCTGGCGAGCGTACCTTCGTAGCGCCCTGCTCGTCCGGACGCCGGCGAGCAGGCGTGTCCGCGCCAGTGGGACGATGTCCCTCCGGGCATCGCAGTCGGCTCGTGCGCGGTCCACGAGTGATGCCAGCGTCGAGATGACCGTGCGCGTCTCAACAGGACGAGGAAAAGGTAGTGTCGCTTCCGTACTTGTGCAGAATTCCAAAGGGTTTTATTTTTTATCAGTGTTAAATAGCTTTTTGTACAGGCTTCAATCCATTTTTTTCCTGAAGCGTGCTGTTTTTTATTGAAAGCAACTATCAACTTTTCACATCCCGCGGAACTGCTGTTTACACGTCAAAACTTTAACTTAACCATCCTTTTCAGAGTGGACTTTTTTGGAGGGAGGACAATCCCGGCCGCTCGATGATACTAAGCCGCTGTGAGCGCCCTCTCGTGAGGTCCTGAGATTTTATAAAACTTAATCCGTAGCTTTTTAAGTTCCACACTAGACTTGGGTGTACATAACAATAAGGAATGAAAAGTGACCCCACCGTTCTTTTAAACATCCGGCTTTTTCCACTGATGCGTACGTACTTTTGCAAGTATTTTGTTCACGCATACTTTGACCATGAAATTGAAAAAGTCTTCAACTTCTCGGTAAATGTGAACCATTTGTTTTCTGTTGTGCTTTGGGGGTGGGGACATTTTAATATCATATTTGCCTAAATCAAGCTGCCCCCTCTGAATGTGCATTTTTAAATGTCAAAATTCGGTGAACCATCCCAGATTGCAGTATGCTTAAATTTAAGTGGTGTTTAAAAAAGGAGAAGATTATAGGGTTGATTTGTTGTTATTGAAGCTCTGTTAAGACAAATTGGTAAGACTTTCTGTTTCTGATCAGTTAAATAGTGATCAATGTCAATGTATGGAAATCTTTTCTTAAAACTTGTTCACAGATTATTTTGATCCATTTTTCTGTGGCATTTGGTGCAATAAACCTTTTGAATTTATCTTGAACATTTTCCTGGTACTGCACATGATTTGTTTGTTGCATTTAATTGGACTGAAGGTCTCATTTCCAGTCACTCCTGCTGAAACAAGTTCACTGTGTAAGTCAGAGGTTTTCAGCAGGGACGTCCTGGAAGTGTCGGACATTTCTAGTCGCGTAGTGATGGGTAAGGGCTGCTGGCAGGGAGTGGTGGGGGCTGAGGGAGGGGAGAGACATCTTGGAACGTGTGGGACACCCCACGGAACGAGGAGCTGTCCTGCCTCCTGTGTGACTTCTAAATATCCTGCTGACATTCATGTGGCTGAAAGACCCATTTATAATGATCTAAGCTCAGAATTTAATTCTGCTCTATAGGGAAGCATAACGTATTTCTCTCACGATTTGAACAGAGGCTGACTTTTCCAGGGACGCCACTGTTGTACACATGAGGCAAGATTTTACTTGGTAAGGTGTGGATTTTAACAGGAATTGACATAATTTGGAAAACCGTGTTCCCAATCGCTGTGGTACCCATGTAGTGTGAGTCATCAGTGGTCTACCTGTATCTGCGTTCGCTCATCTCTGTTGCCTCCTGGAGACCCAAGCGGAAGGAAGCAAGCGTCTCCTTACCCTCATCATAGTTTCTGTTCTAATCCACCAGTGCCCCAGTGTCCAGGTATTAAAATATATATTCCTGTGAGTTTTAAGATAGTATAGCTGGGCACTATATTGGTTTGTTATAAATTAAGTATGTGAGTAGGTTATTTTATTTTTGAATTTTATTTTAGGAAAATCAAGGGCATTAGAGAATATTTGCTATGAAAGGGATGAGATCATTGATCCCCATGGCCTCAGGAAAAATATGCTGTCAAGTATAACTTTTGTAGCAACATCATACCATGTTGAATTATGTTAAGACTACAGGAAGAAGTAATATTAGATATTGCAAAATCCTTTCTGGATTTAATGGAAATCTCCAGTGTTTTCCATGTCCCCTTTAAAATCATGTCCTTGACAACAACTTAGACCCGTACATACACACCAACCACATAGCTTTCTGGGTCTGTGAGGTGCTTGCTACAGGTGACCTCATTTAATCCTCACACCTGGACGAGACGGGTACTTTTAATAGTTCGTCTTAGGCGTCTCATCTTGCTCAGGCCATGGTACCCAGATATTTGGTCAAATACCAGTGTGGATGTTGCTGTGAAGGTATTTTTTTAGGTGAGATTAACATTTAGAGGTTTAGATTTACTTTGAGTAGAGCAGATTATCCTCCATGGTGTGAGAGGGCCTTGTCCAATCAGATGAAGGACTTAAGAGAAAATAGACTGACATCCCCCGCCAAGGGAAGAAATTCTGCCTCCAGGCTGCCTTCATGGCCTTCTGGAGTCTCCAGCCCACTGTGCAGGTTTGGGATTTGCCAGCCTCCAAAGTCTCATGAACCAGTTCCTTAAAAGAAAGCTACCTACCTACCTACCTTCCTGCCTAACTACCTACCTAACTACCTATCCATGTAGCACCTGTCTATCGTCTACTTATAATCTATCAATCTATCTACCCATCCATCATCCATGTATCCATCCATCCATCCATCCATCCATGTGTCTATCCATCCATCCATCCATATATCCATCCATCCATCCATGTGTCTGTCCATCCATCCATCCATCCATCCATGTATCCATCCACCCATCCATGTATCCATCCATCCATCCATCCATCCATCCATCCATCCATCCATCCATGTATCCATCCATCCATCGATCCATCGCACTGGTTCTGTGTCTCTGGAGAACCCTGACTAGCACTGGTACTTGAGGGGTCAGTCCAGTTATATATATAATGCCCCCAAAATGGAGGTGGGTAGTGGAATACTGCCACACCCATGATAGGAAGCGGACTTCGAAGTCAGCTCTCTAATGCAGTGAACAGTAAGGACCTCAGCGTCACCCCTTAAGGGCCAACATATCCAAGTCACACGATCTCTGAGTATGTGCAGCCAAGGGGGTGCTGGAGAGCAGGGAAAGTCTTAAGTGAGAACCACCCTGTGGGATGGCAGAAGAGGAGGTCCCACTTCTTCGTGCGCCGTGGGAGAGGAAAGCCTGCCTTTAGGCACTAACCCCTGCAGCCTGGTGCGAGTTCCCACAGCTGGGCATCGCCCTCAGCTGTCGGGGACCTCCGGCCATCACCTGCAAGTTCGCAGTATCCCGACTTTCTCCTCTGTCCCCCTCCCCATTCTTTATCCCCAGTTTCTCCTTCCTTGACAACTCAGCACTTTCTAGAGAGGTTTACTTGGCATTCACTTCTTTGCCTCCTACCCTCGCCCCGCCCGCATCTCGTAAGGTCTGTGGTCCACTGTCTCTCCTTCCTCCTTCCGTGCAGCTGAGGTCTCCCCCACATCCAGTCAATACCCAGAGTGCCCAGCTTACTCTCTGCATCCCAGATGCATCCGCTGTTCCCCTTTCTCTTTGCCTTCTTTCGGTCCCTCCTTGTCTCTCAACAGTTACCAAAATGCCCTCCAAACTCGCCCCTCCACACTCACCCCTCACAGCAATGCTTCTAATCCATCGTCCCCCAGGCTGATGTCTAAATAACCTTCCCAAAAGTCTGAAATCATTTCTAAGTAAGTCTTTTCACAGATTTTTTTAAACATGCAAAAACATCTCAGTTGGATTCAGCAAGTGACAGGAGGCATTTGGGATCATTTAATCCACGATTGCTCTAATCCTACACAAAATTAGTTCAGTGGTGGGAAAGAGCTAATCCAAGCCTCCTCCCGCATGCTGCAGCAGTCTCATCTGGACCCAGCTCAAAATTCAGACCACATAGGCACACTCACAGCCGAGCCGCTCCCTTCTTCAGCACAGAGCATCCTGGGGGCAGCACCCACCAAAGAGGGCTTCTAAGGCTGCCTCACAAGATTTCATATACATACATAATTAATTTTCAGATGGACAACTGCTGACGCATCAGATCCCTGGAGACAGATGATAAGCAATATTCTGGGGAGGTAGCACGGTTCTCCAGTGGAGCCAGGAGACCCCCACCACGTAGGGAGCAGGTGTCTCCAGATGCATCCTGGCTGGTCTCTTCCCCGTGTCATCATGGAAGGCTGCTGTCACCCTCCACGCTGAAATGCCGGAGGACCGCAAAGCAGACCCGGCTGTGGGATTATGCAGCAGGACCCCAGGAAACAGCTGTTCATTTGAATACATGCTTACGCACTCTTTCCTTGGCTCTCACGACAGCTACAGAATGTTCAGGACAGATACTGACACCCCCATTTTCCCAATTCAAAAACCCGTATCAGGAAATTACGCAACTCGTTCAAGATTCCATGGAGAGCGATGGGGAGGGAAAAACCCTTGAATTGGAACTGGTATATTTTTACTCTGCTAACCAGTCCGCGAGGTTTTAAGAAGGGTTGTAGGTTTACCTCCATCCCTCTGCCTGAGACCGCTCTCAGGTTTTGGAAACCAAGAAATTGGCCATTCTCTCTCCAGGTTAAACCACATGATAAACAAGCAGTTCTAAGGGCTGAGCCCCACACCTCCTGTTTTCTTTATCTACAGTGTGGCGATGATACCCACCTGCCCCCTGTGCGGACGTCACTGCGGAAATCCAACATGACTTACGAAACGTTTTGATAGGTTAAAAGGAGATGTAAGACTGATTATTCGTAGCATTACTATTAAATAGCATTATTGAATTCTCACGTTGAAACAGCCTGACGTTTTCTACGAAGATCCAGACAAGCAAGTGACCCTACCTCCTCCCTCTGGGGCAGCTTCGGCAGCGTGGGTGGTCTGGAAGCCCTGGGCAGTGCCGCCTCGCTCTGCTTCACGAGGGTAGCCCGCCGGGAGTTTCTCTGATTGGTGTCCTCATAGTCACCCATGTGCCAGGCAATGGAGCCCCGGCTGTAGCACCCCTGTGCATCCATGGCCGAAGGGCTTGGTTGCCTGAAACAGGAGCAAGTTGGTTGGTTCTCAAATCAGAAAGACATTAGAAGTAAGGCCACCAGTTTTCAGACAGTCGAGATCTGTCTGCTTCTGTTGCAATTCCAGGTGACGTCTAGCTTGGCAAAGCCAGGGACCTGAGCCCGCAGCCAGGGATCTGAGAAGCTTGCGGATTCCGCCCCTCCGCGTCCCTAGACATCCAGCTGCTGGAGATGCAGAGAACCACCTGCCCAGCTGGACACTCATCTAGGAAGCTTGTTGACGACGTCGCCCCTGGGCCACGGCTGCTCCGCACGGCCTTCAGATCCCAGCACGCGAGGGGCTGGGAATTTGGAGGCGGCGCGTTGGGGCTGAGACCTCGTGGACCCACAGGATCTCCCGCAGGACAGGCCCACCGGGTCTGAGATCTCAGAGGGGTCCAGGGACACACCAGCCTCACTATCACAGGCTCTGGCTTTGGACAGTGTGCAGGAAGAAAGATCTCAGCTTCAGGCTCTTTCCCTAGAGAAATCACTGTCCTGGTTCCAATACCCCTAAATTAGAATATTACCTGAGGTCTGCTTTCCCACTGAAAAGGGCCAGGTCTGGGGAAAAGACAACGAGATCATGGTATAAGGGTGTGCTGTCTCATTTGGAAGGCTGTTGTCGCCTGAGAGAGCTCTCGGAGCTTCTCACCCCCGGACCCTTCCAGCTGGAGCTCAGAGCCTCTCAGCCATTGCAGGGTCCCTTCCTGGACTCTGAGTGTCCCGGCCTCCCTGGTTCTTTGGGTCCAGATTCCTGGCAGGCCTGCACGGCCCCTCACTCCATCCAGAGCACGGCGCACAGCAGAAGCGCTGGGGGTCTGGGGGCCGCAGGAGCAGGACAGGGACCCTGTTAGCACAGAGGTTAGATACCCGTGCAGAGCAGACCATCACCAGGTAAGTCAGTCACATACTGGGGAACATGGAGAGAAGTAAAGCCGGGTGAATGGCAGGACATGCAGGCCGGCTGTTTTGTGAGGTCTGGCGGGCAGGAGGCCACAGTGTTGGAGCGGAGGGTGGAGTGGATGGGGAGCCAACAATTCCAGCCCC